TATGTGTAATCCTTTCTGCATATATGTGGTCACTTAATTCTGTTGCAATATTGATTTTACACTTTCAATATGTTTGATGTGTGTAATTGCATGAATTAAAGTGACTTATTACTTTGTGTAATATGTTTATATGCATAGTGGGTTAAGTTTTGTGGCGTACTCTATTTGCTCTGTGAGTGGTGTGAGAGTGTGGTAGTGAGAAGAAAGTTGGGCGGCCGTTTCTCTCCTTCATATTTGTGAGCCTGTGTAGTTTGTAAGATTATGTGAGGCAGCCATGTTAGGGTTACCTTCTTTATCTTTGTGAGCCTCTTTTGTGAGTGTAATGAAGTAATCGACTCTTTCTTCGATTCTCTTTGAGAGTGTCACCTTCACTATTTTCTTTGTGAATTTTTTGGGAGCATTGGTGAGTGGATTAACCTTTGTGGTCATCGAAAGGTGTTATTTTGCCATAGTGAGTTTAAGATGCATTAGCAGTGAGTTGGATGTCTTTTGGTAAGGTGGAGTATAGATGCCTAGAGGTGCATTGGTGATATGCACGACGGATGTAGAGTGTGACATTTGGATCATGAGTGGAGATGTGATCAAATGTATAGAATCCTTTATCTGTGAAAGAAACCCTGATCAGGTGGAGTGTGAGAGATGCACTTCTATCACTTCTGTAAGGTGGAGTTCCATTATCCACGTAGGTTAGGAGAAGTGATGTGGTGATAGAAGATTATCCCGAGAGTTTAGGATCTATTGTGACTTTCCAGTTAGACATGAGTTGAGTGATCTGTTTAGTGAGTATGATGGGTGATGAGAGGAGATATGTGTTCTCGAGGTGTGAGCAACACATAATGGGATAGGATAAGTGTGGTGTGATCTTTTCTTAGGGTCATTTATGCATGTGTTGCATATGTGGTTGACCGTGGTTTGATTAACTAGGTGTTAATCCGTGGTTCTGTGTGAACGTGATTTTTGAAAAGATCTGTGTGTGTGTGTTATCCTATATATATCTTCATCGCATGATTGTTTGTTCACTGTGAATACTTGTTTCAACTTGGGTGTTCTTGACCTTAGCCCTGGTGAGTACATGAAGCAAGTATGGTATGTGTTTCTGTTAGAAATACGAGGTAAGGCCTGTGATTCCAATTGTATTGGACTACTTTGATTATGCAAGTGCTAATTGTGTATTTTTTGATTGCTTGTAGATTTATTGGGCATCAAGGTGGAGATTTGTTGGGTTTTTGATACCCAATAAATCTCGGGCTATGATGTTAACGTTGGTTAATATTATTTTATAGGTATATGTCGATGAATGAAATAAGTCCAACAACCAAGTCCATGAGCTACACCCGACCCAATTGTATTCCTTCTGGATGGCTTGAATCTTGTCTCGTTTACCTCTTTAATGGCCCAACTTAAAGCCTAACCCTAGAGTATATATATGGATATAACCCTAGACTCTTTCTTATGATGATTGTGTGATTTTGAGAGAAGAAAAAGGAGAATCCCGGCTGCCCTCTTGGTGAGTGAAAAAAAGGCCTCCAGAAGTGTCCAGAACGCTTGTATAACGTGTGCAGTTGGTAGTTCCTTCATAGTATACCTTAGTGGTGTCTTCTCCTAGCCTTTGTGGTCACAAATCATCATCATTTCTTGTCCTAAGTGGGTAAGATTGAATAGCAACCAAGGTGAATCAATTGATTGTGGTTTGGAGCCGGTTGGATTGATTGTTGGTAAAGAAAAGTGGTACGTTAGACTGAGCCTGAAAAACCACCGTTTAAAGATTCTTTTAAGAGAGCTTCCGCAGCACTAGGGTTTCTCTTTTTCTCTCAAACCACCAATTTTCTAAGTGAAAATGATTTCTGTAAATCTGAGTGATTTTTGATACTACACTTGATGTATAATTGTGATATTGCTTAGTGCTAGTTAGTGGTGGTGTTTTGATAGTTGTGAGTGAGGCGAGATCAAAAGTAATGAAGAAACTTTGTGTTTCTTCGTACATTTGTAACGTTCTTGGTTTTGTTTCTAGTGGATCTAGAGCTATATCTACTTAGTAGATGCTCAATGTGGTGAGTAGGTCTTAAGGCTGAACATTCGGGCCTTTGTGGCGAAAAATCATTTGTGTTCATTCTTTTATTTTTCTGTAACTTCAATATTTCAGTGATTCTTGTGATAATCTGTATTCGGTAAACCTTCTAAGATCTAACACAATATTTCTAACTCAATCGAAAAGTTTAAGTTCGAAACCTATCTTGATGCATGAAAGATGGATTTATGGACTCCCTAAGTTCAGCTCTTCTCATAGATATTAATTTTGACTTACATTATTTATAGGCTAGTTTGTATTTTTAGTTCGAAAAATATTTTAATGCTTGAAAGATTAATGTATTGACTTCCTTATACATAAATAGTATTATTTAATTACACATAATATAATTCCACTTATATATCTTGTGGAGAGTGAAAATATTTTATATTTTGTAACACCTTTTGTGTACCCTTTTTGGGACTTCTTTAGCATCTTTCTCACAAGTATGAAAAAAAAAAACCTTTTAGTTGTAATGCTTTCATCGTGGCTTGGAAGATGATGATGCAGACATATTATCAATTGTTGCTGGTCATGAGGGCTACTTAGAGATCCAAAGAGCCGAATCGGCCTATTTGACATAGGTTTGATATAACTTGTATTTTATTTGTTATTGTGGAGATAGTATTTGATATCTTGTTAGACTCATATAGCTCACCATGTCTAGATGATATCTGGGCTATCTTTGCACCTATACTACTCATAGCTGGGTGATTAGGTCCCAACAATGTTCATCGAGGACCAATGTTAACAATCAAGTGTTGGAGCTTACTTAAATATATTGAGGATCAACGATCTATTATTATTGTAGATAAGTACAATTGCATGTATATTAATGATCTACATTTTAAACTACGGTACGTGTTCAATACTTGATGGTTAGCCAATGTTGTTCATATTCGAAAATCAATTATTGTGAATAGAGATGAGGGCTGGCTAGTGATGATGGGGCAAAACACTAGACACTAACAATTGATGAACAAAAAATTGATATTGATCAATAGAAGTTGGAATTAATGTAAATTATAATTGTTATACATAATCCAATACAATATTTACAAACCACTATTTATCATAGGAAATCATAGAACATGAGATCAAGAAAAACTTAAGACAATTAGGGATTTAGTACGATTTAATTAAACATCTTGTTTGTTTAAGTTCGATTGTTTGGTAGCCCTATAATTTAGATTAGTTGGATGAATTGCATTGCTGATATTGATTTCCAAAAAGCTAAGGTAGGACAACCAATCATGGCATTGTTAAATCGAGATATCTTTTATCTAATCTTACATCTTCAATACCCACGCCTAGCATGTTTGGATAAGTCTAAAAAGTTTACCTATAAGTGAATGAGAAAATTTTAAAATAAGTGGCTTTTTTTATTGAACAAATTCAAATCTCAGAGTAAAGTTACCTTCAAAAATAACAATTTTAATATAAAGTGTTAAAAAGAAAAAAAGGTAACATAAATTTTACGTACCTATGAGTCCATGACCTCCAGTTTAGCCAAACATGCTCGCTCACTCACTCACTCAATCCATTCCATGTGTTTTCTCTGGTTTTTGTATGCCAAAAGTCCATGAATCCATCAATTAGTAGTTGATTGCTGTTTTTCCGAAAAAAATAAAATGCAAGTAATTATAGCAAAAGTGGAAATTATGACTTATGTTCGTTTTACTCTAAATCCAGCTCCATATAACTCTAATTATGCGAACCGTCGACTTCGATAATTTATTTTTTTAAATTTTTTATGTTCAAATTACTCTCAAAAATTAAATATTGATGAACAAATTAGATAGAACTCGAAAGAAATTAAGACTGAATACGAGAAATTGCTACGTTTTTATGAAACGAATGTATTATTTACCCCTTTGATCGCAAAAAGAAAGTTTACATAATAAACTTTTGATTGTTAATTGTAATATAAAACCTCTAATGTCAAATTTCTTTATATTCAAAACAAAATAAAAACCTACCTTTAAAAATGGATTACTTGTGTAACACTTAAATGAGTTCGTCTTTTTTTCCATTTACATTTGGCGCACGAAATCAGCCCCCATTTGATGGTTATTGTCAAGTAAAAATGATATTTTGAATATTGAATTTTTGAAAAATTTATGAAACGAATGTATTATTTACCCCTTTGATCGCAAAAAGAAAGTTTACATAATAAACTTTTGATTGTTAATTGTAATATAAAACCTCTAATGTCAAATTTCTTTATATTCAAAACAAAATAAAAACCTACCTTTAAAAATGGATTACTTGTGTAACACTTAAATGAGTTCGTCTTTTTTTCCATTTACATTTGGCGCACGAAATCAGCCCCCATTTGATGGTTATTGTCAAGTAAAAATGATATTTTGAATATTGAATTTTTGAAAATTGTGTGACTTAAAAGTGGTGAAAATTTTTGGATTTACCTGCAAAATATTTTATTGTGCAAATGTAATGTTGAAAATAAATACGAAAAATAAATTATTTTATTTTACATGGAAAACAAACATGGTAAAGTTTTCACCATCTCAAATCTCACCTACCCTTTCAAACATTTGATAGTGCATTTTCATTTGATTTAAACAATTAATCATGCCATAATGAAGTTTCATTGTTAACGTTTTGCCACTTGCCCTCTATGGAATTTTAGGCCATATTTTCCTAATTTCTACGCTTCGAGGAAATTACGCGCGAAATATAACATGTAAGATAAAGATCATGTTTGGTCAAGTTTAAGAATAAAAGTTGATTTAAATATCTTTTCATCATCTAACAATGATACTTATTTTCAACTTTGATCAATAACAATTATTTATTTTAAAACTTACTCTTTCATTTATAAGTAAGAACCTTCTAAGCTTAGCCAAAAAGTCTTCCGAATTTTACGACCCATAAAAACCAGAACTTGACCATGAAATACAACATGTAATACAAAAAAATTGGCTTTGTATTATATAATTTAATTCTCTCTCTCTCTCAATCACTCGGTTAGAACAAAGAGTACAACTGCCAACAAACAAATACTCACTTTCATTCCACCCCTTAATCATATTTATTGCACTAATTGACACAGAGTTAATCCCTTCTCTATATCTAGCCTCATCAAGAAATTGGGTTTCTACTGAAAATATTGTTATGGAGTTCTTCCACAAAGCCAAGGCTGTTAGACTCAAAAGCCACTTGAACAAATACCTAGTAGCAGATGATGATCAAGTCTCCACCAGACAAAGTCGAAGCGCGGCCACCCGAAAAGGGCGGTGGACGGTTGAGCTTGTCGAATCCAACAGCCATGTTATCCGCCTCAAGAGCTGCCACGGCAGGTACTATTCAGACTTGGGAGTTCGAAAAGGTCACGGAATTATTGGATTTTAACATTAATTATTTATCCTTAACAGGTACCTTACCGCGTCGAAGGAGCCGTTTTTATTGGGCACAAGTGGGTGCAAAGTCATGCAGACTGAGCAAGAAAACATGAAGGATTTGTCCATTGAGTGGCAACCTATAAGGGATGGATTTCAAGTAAAGTTAAAGGGTTTGGGGGGTACTTTTTTACTTGCTAATGGAGGAACACCGCCTTGGAGAAATTCAATCACGCATGATAACCCTAATACTGGTTCAACCAAGAATTGGATTTTGTGGGATGTAGAGCCTGTAGAAATCCCCGAAAATGAATTCTTGACGGATTATTTGTCGATGGTTTCCAGTTTTTCGTCTGTTTCCGATGAACTTTCCGGCTTGGATATATGGTCTCCGCCGCCGGAGTCGCCGGTGTCTGTGCACTCCAGTTATTCACCCTCCTTTAAGAGGTTATCTATGAAAAAGGTATGTTTTCTGAACTTGTCAAACCTGTAAAGAATTTCGCAAAAAAAAAAAAATAATAATAATCAATGGCTGAGAAGAAATTAATAATTTCATTTTAATAGTTTTCTTGTTTGGGCTGTGGTACCAGTAGGATGTTTGGCCTTGCTTAGAAAGGACTTTTTTAAGTAGTTTACTTAAAGTAAAAAAAGTTACTTTTAAACAAGGTCAAACATGCCATAAAATACTATGATTTTTTTCTTTCCCTATTATTATTTAGGAGAAAAACTGAAGATGGGAAAAAAGTTTTGTTGCTCCTAATTGGAGATGACTCTGGTTTGGAAATAGTTAAAATATGATTTTTTAAGTAATTTATTCAATGTAGCATTTTAATAAAAGAATTACTTTTAAATACTATCAAACTTGCCATAAAAAGTCTTTTTTTTTTATTTTTTTATTTTTATGCCTTTTGGAATAGCTTATCGCCTGAACCAATCCCACTCCCTTGAAATATATATTGGTCTAAGAAAAAAAGCAAAAGGATTAAACAATATCTAATCTGAAGTTGATTACTAATTTCTAATTATAGTAAAAATTTAATTTAATTTTAGGATTTTTTTTTATTATTTTTAACTGTGAATGTATTTGATATGATTGCAACGGCTGCCTAGATTTCAAGCCCAAAACTAATCGAATAATCAATAATTTCCTTGTTAAATCAGTTAAATTATAAAAAAGTTCATCTTAAGTAGAGACTAGAGACTAGTATAATATAAGCGTTAAGCCATTTGTACAGAAAATTTTTCACAAAATTTGGCCAAATTACTCTCATGTGTAGAACCCAACATGAATAAAAAGTTGTCAAAAAATACCCCCACACACCCACCCTATGTGTGTGTTCTAATAGACTTTTGTATAAAGCCTGTTGTATACAGAAGCCTACTGTACACACAGCAGGGTTGATAATACAATGTATTATCACTCATTTTGTACTTTAAGATTGCCTCCGCAGGCAAACAAAAGTATTAATCTATCGGTGAAAAGGGCATATATAATTATTTATAATTTGTATGTCTGCGTAGTTCGTCAAAATGATGTAGAATTAAATATTTTAAGTGGGCCTCCAAAATATTCACCATGAAAATTTATCTCTTTATTTAATAATGCAAATATCATCAGTATCACATGTCCCTAATTCATTGTTAATTCTATAAAATCCCTGTATAGTTAAGATAAAGATTAGAATTTTTGTTAAGGTTAATGAAATTTATGGTTGAAAAATTGTGAATTTCATAAAATGCATAGTTAAAATTAATTATTATTATTATTTTTTAATTTTTAAACTGAAACAAATAGGGTATAAGTCATATTATTCATCACCCGGGTGATCATCAGTCAAGTGGCTATATGGAGCCTCTGTTTTCACAATTAGAAACCGATGTAAGTGAAAATTTTACTTGCAAGTTCAGAAATTTCTCTTGATCTTTTTAAGATAATATTCCTTAAACCTACTGGCTGTAGTTTTTACTTTGTACAGTCCAAACTTTACTTCATTAGCCTCCAAATTAGGATGTGCCCACAGAAATGATCTGTTGTGGCATTATAAGAGTCACATGGTAGTTGAACTTGATTCGCTCTGACTGTCATCCATTAAAGGAAATTTCTTGTGAATCTGTGTCGGAACTTCAATTTTCCATTAAACCCATGAAAAACCAGCCTTAAATTCATTCAATTTAGTTCTGGGATTTTTTATTTACACAGAAATCTTTCAATTTAATATCAAGAACACCAGCAATGGATCTGTTCCAGAACTCCAAGGAAGTTCGATTGAGAAGCGTTCACGACAAGTACTTGATAGCTGAAGAAGACGAAGAATCCGTAACCCAAGAACGAAACGGATCATCCAAGAACGCTAAATGGACAGTAGAGATAGTCGAAACTTCCGACAACATAATTCGTCTCAAAAGTTGTTACAACAAGTACTTAACCGCATCAAACCAGCCTTTTCTGCTGGGCATGACTGGCCGGAGAGTTATGCAAACGCTGCCGAGCCGGCTCGATTCGTCGATCGAGTGGGAGCCCATCAGAGAAGGCAATTCAGTGAAGCTGAAAACGAGGTACGGCCAATTCTTGCGGGCAAATGGGGGACTACCGCCGTGGCGGAACTCAGTTACACATGATATTCCTCACCGGACCGCCACTCAGGATTGGATTTTGTGGGATGTACATGTGGTTGAGATATTGGTGGCGCCGCCGCCACGTTTCGTTGTTCACTCGGATTCTTTTGCTTCGGATTCTAGTTCGCCTTCTACTCGTTCCTCAATGTCTGCTAGCTTTTCTGGACCAGAGGTACTTCAACAATTTTGCTTTCGGTTCAATGATTTAGCTGTTTGTTACTTTCTTTGTAAAATGTGTGGATTTTTTTACATTAGAATTAAAAATCAGATTAAAATGGGATTATAATTAAAGAAGGAATAGTATTAATTGAAGTTCATTCTGCAATTTCTCACTTCAACGACATTCGATAAAATTGGAATGATGTAAAGAAGATTATGATGGTCCCTAAGCAAACTTATTTTTTAATTTCATTTTTCTGATGCTTAAGTTTGGCATCACAAAACTTAGAACAAGAATTGTAAAAGCTAAATGTTTGGAGCATGATTGGCCTAGTCTTAAAAAAAAAAAAAAAAAGTAACTTTGAAACATGTTTCAAAAAAAGTAATTTTAAGCTTAGCCAAACATGCTTAATTTTGTACTATTGAGTCTTAGAAGAGATGGAATATACTTCAGGATGAAAATTTTTAGGTAGTTTGTTTGTCAATTTTCAGAGAGATTTTTATTGAGTACTCGTGAATACTAACGTGTTTTTGGGGGCTCGTGTGTAGTCAAATGATTTAGTGGTAAGTTCGCCACCAAAGGGTAGCGATGGCAGGACAATTTACTTTCATATAGCGAATGAATATGGGGAGATCGATGAGGGGTTTGAGGAGCTCGGTATCACATTTAAGGGAAATGGAGTTCAAGAATTGACGAAGAGACTTGAGGAGGAGTTGGGAATGAATGGTATTATTGTGTGTACACGAAGCCCGTTGAATGGGAACCTTTATCCTCTTCGTCTGCAGCTTCCTCCAAATAATTCAACCATGCATGTCGTCGTTGTTCCTTCCTCATCACAAGGTAATCTTTCTATTCTGATTTAGTTCCAGTCAATCACGCTATCTTATATGATCACCCATACAAGTCAATGTGTTTGTAGATTGATGTTGAAGGCACATCTTTTTTCATTTTATTTTTGAGGAGCTAGAAACTGTAAAAATCCCAAGTAAAGAACCATTGAAGATAATGAAGAAACTAGTATACTCAGAGAGAAAAGTGGCATGGGAAGTATTGTACTTCTTGATCTGTACCTCTAGTTATATGCACTTTACGAATTTTCTAGTTAGAAACTTGCTTGATTGAGTGATAATCAATTAGATTAAAATGGATTTTCGATTCTTGAGATGTGTTTTAAGTGACAATGAGGTTGAAAATTTTGTTGTAACGTATTATATTGCATTAAAAGGGTCGATCAATGCTATGCACTACGAGTATGATTGGTAGGAAGGATTAGGTTCAAATGGATAATATTACAAAATCTAAAGCATGTTCATCATTATACTATCTAGTCATGTCCAATTTTGCAGATAAACATCCACTACAAGTAAATTTCTAAATCCAATTCCTCTCTTGATTAAATTTAATAATTTATGGTTTATATGCGCATTGTTTCTTGATTCGGTTACAAGCATCTTATTTTTCTCATAATTCGACTTATTTTGGTGAATCAGAAGCTCAAGATTTGGGAAGAACAGGAACACCATTGTAGTAGAAATTCAGAAGATATTGCAGATTCACTCAACACGTATAGTACATGCGGCTGGTGTCCCTTTCGCCATCCTTGGTTGATCTTGAGTCGGCTTTCATCTGTCAAGGTTTTGAATTCACAAACAGATCATTTGTAAATGCATTCAAGTGATGTAATAATAATATTCATAACTGAAATTGCATTTGCTTAATATTTTGTACCAGAAGTCTTGTGCTCTCATGGAAGTTACAATTCATAAATTTGGTATCACTTAGTGCAATCAACTGAGAAAAAAATGAAAATTTTATAATCTTCTGTTTATATGATTTTCAAAGAGAACCCTCTTCTTTTTAGACTTATAATGTAAAAGTGATGGAAGTAATCATAAAATCATAATGAAAATGTTTTCATAAATTTATTGCAAGTATTTTACTAGTTACTCAACTAAACTCCTAGTACTTTGATATTGGGTGTATACTAGAACCCTACAATGTCATGCTTCTAACCAAAAATACCCCTCCTGTTGACACATAAAAGTTCAGCCCAAATCGAACAGCCCAAGGAGTAAAGCCCAATTGGAGGATCCCCAAATCGGATATCTCAAAGAACGAAGTCCAATCGAACGAATCAAGGTGAAGGCCCAAATAAGGGGGCCAAGAATGCGGTAACGCCATCGCCCAAGTTTGCAAGTCGTCCAGAATCTGAACGAATGGAGTGTCATACGATCGCCCAGAGCTATTATTCTACTCTCGTCCAAACCTTCAAGTCGCCCAAAGTATCAACAAACACAACGCATCGTGGTTATCAAGGAATGCAGTTATCAAGGCAGTTGTTAAAGTAGTCTTATCACGTTCCACGACTCAAGGAATTCAATCGAAAGCGGTTGAACGATGAAAGATAATGGCAGCAGCTAAAAGGCAGTTTCATGACAAAATGGCCACTACAAAGAAAGTGGGTAGTTATAGAACGATCAAGCAGTTTTTAGAGTAGTTAATCATAAAGAGATCGTCTATGAGGTATAAAAGGGAGAAAGGACGCAGAAGCAAGAAGACCGAATCCAAAACTCTCGAACAGAGAATATGTAACTTTCATTTCCTTAGCTTTTAGACTTAAACAATTTTCTTTCTGTAACTCGTGTGCTTGCGCCCCTTGGAGGCATGTTGTTTTTCGTTTCCAATTGTAAAGTTCATCGCTAATAAAAGAACACCCCTTTTTGGGACTTTGTCTCAAGAGGTTTCGTCCCTTACACAATCGTCTGATCCTTTTTAATTGTTAGCGACTTAACCCGCGCGAAACAATTTGGCACGCCCATTGGGACAGTGGTGTTAGGTGTTGAAAATACAAAAGGTGAAACAATATGCCTCAGAGATCCGACAAGGAAGGAGCAAGTCAGGGAGGAATCTAGTCTGTAATCGAGCGATATGAGGAGCAGCATGCCTCTCCACGAACAGATGGACAAAATCAGAGCAATAACAGTCGTTACGAACCAATGACGGAGTTGAGTCCTCGAACCATGCGTGCATTGCTTGGAGAACTCACGCAAGACGTCGTTGAACAGGTAAATCTTCGAAGTATTCATTATATGGAAAGATTTACACAAAATGGAAATGCACACTATGACAATATGGCCAAACAGCTAAAGACGTTAAACGAAACAATGAATAAGTTAGTAGGCCAAATATGTCAACCGGCTATACCTCTTACAAACCACTTTCAAACCAGGACAGTTGTGGGACATAATCCCTCTGTCCTAAATCCGAATCAAGGGGTAGAATCGCTTTCTGGTCCCTCCACTTCAAACCAAGGGGGTACTACAGTGCCAAATCAAAACAATGATAATGGCATGCCTAATTTGGGGGGTAGTCCAAACGTGAGAGATAATGTCCTAAACAATGGACAGAATATTCCACGTAGTAATAAGGGAACAGATGTCCAAACTAATGGTAATGGTCCTAATTATGGTAATTTTGTTGTCAATCAAGGACCAAACATCAGACCTCATGCAAATCAACCGGTTAATCAGCCTGTAGGAATTCCATATGATCACAATGTCATGCTGAGGAACCAGATTATGGAAATCGTGCAGGATCAGATGGCTTTTAGGGTGCGTCCTGTCATTAGGCCGACGTACACAAAATCATATCCTGATTGGGTAGACCAAGCATATCCATGGCCTAGAGGGTACAAAGTGCCAGAATTCTCACTATTTACCGGTTTAGGAGAGGTGTCTACTCTAGAACACATAGGGCGATTCACGTTGCAAAGTGGTGATGTAACCGATTACCATAAAATGAGACTTTTCCCTAATTCGTTAACAGGAGTAGCTTTCTCCTGGTTCATCAACTTGCCAGCGAACTCTGTTCAAACATGGCAACAACTGGAACAGTTGTTTCACGCTCAGTTTTATAAAATTGAGTTTGAAGTCACTTTGGCTGATTTGGCAAATCTACGTCAAATGCCAAATGAATGGGCAGAAAGTTTTCTCCAAAGGTTCAAAACAGCAAGAAGCAAGTGTTTTGTACCTCTGCCCGAAAAAGAATTTGTCAAGATCGCACAAGGCTGTTTGAGCTTTGATTTAAAAAAGAAGTTCCAGGACAAGGAATTTTCTGACCTTTTCCAGTTGAGTGCGAATGTGATTAGGTATGAACGACTGATAAGAGAGGAAGAACAAATGAAAAATTCTAGTAAAGGGACTTATTACATAGACCCAAATTTTGACGTTTATACCATCGACGACGAATCATACGATCAGGCCGAAATGTGTTTGGCCGAATTGGTAAAAGGAGATACATATACTTGTCCCATAATGGCCAAGCCTAGACCATCGGGCAAAGATGAGCTCATAAAAGATGGAAACATAAAGGCTAGAACGTTCTCGTTCGATGTGACCAAAGCTGACCTTATATTCGATAAGTTATATAGGGATAAGCAAATAAAGTTGAGCGATAAACACAAATTGCCAAACTCTGAACAAATAAAGGGTAAAAAATATTGTAAGTGGCATAATGCATGGTCACATTTAACTAACAATTGCTTAGTTTTCCGTCACGTATTGCAGGATGCTATTGAATCAGGACGAATTACGTTCGATGATAAGAAAAAGATGGCAGTGGACGAGAATCCTTTTCCACAGCCACTTGGGGTAAACATGGTAACGTCTGGATTCAAGAACAAGTTGCCAAAATTCAAGTTGGTCATAGATGATGGAGAAGAGGATACTAAAACACATCCCAGTGTCTTCGAACGAATCAAAGGGAAAGAACCAAAAAATGACGAAAACGTCCTGTGTGCAAGGTGTAAAAGAGAAGTAAATGGAGACACGGAGAAACCAGGGACATGGCAGCATCCTCATCGCCCTGCCTTCTTCCCAAATATTCAGCCTGGTAGAGGGCGAGGTATATCATTCTATAGAGGACCGCCTTTTGAAAGGCAGTTCAGACCAGCAGATACTGGAAGAACATTTAGGCCGCAACCTCGCCGGCCAAATGTATGGCATTCATTCCAGTACAGCGCAGGAAGGGCAATACCCTTCGATGAGATGACTAGGACCCAACAAAGGCGTTTCCAGCGAAACTACGGACGGATGATGAGGCAGCAACAAGGAATGCCACATCCTAAAGCGCCTCTACTACTCAAGGTAGCCAATCAAAACGTTCTCAAAGGTAGTAAAGAGACTGGTACAGATGAATCAATGAAGGAATTGCCAGAAACCTCTTCTGGGAGATCAAGGTTTGAGAGGGACAAAAAGGATGAAGAAGATCCAGATCAGCCCCTTGCTATCCAATTCGATACGTTGCCTCCTGTCGTGGCCAATAATTACCTACTGGCCAATGAATTCAAGAATAAAGAAAAGGAAGAAGAGAGGGAGGACAACGAAGGAGAAGCCTGTATGCTGGTATGTGAAGAAGGCCAGACTTCTGGAGAGGCCTACAACGATGAAGAGGACGATGGGATGACAGACATTGAAGAAGAAATTGACCTAGAAGCAGAAAGGAAAAAGAGGGGAGTATCGCGCAACACTCTGTTTAAGCAACTACACCAAGAGGGAGTTCGCGAAGTAGACTTATTGGGGGAGCCATCTGGGCGTCCTTTTGACTTCTACGTACTTTACGGGACACCCAAAAGGAAGAAGAGAGTACCTCACTCTGAAAAGTATGGGTCACCTCCAAGAATAATGCCCCCTCCCACAGGTTGGATAACTGATGAGGAAGCATTAGAAAAAAGTAAGAAGGAAATTCAGGAGACAGAGGATCAGCGTGACATACTACACGTCGACCTATCACAAGGGGATAATTCGACAGAAAACAAGCAAGAGGTAGAAATAGAGGCTGCCGAAAAGGTTGTTTTTAAACGGCCAGCCATGAAATTGACAAAACACCTGAGGCCATTATACGTTAAAGCTCTAGTTAACGGCGTCCCAGTGGCAAAGGTGCTTGTCGATAATGGAGCGGCTATAAACACCATTCCATCCAGGATGATGAGAAAGTTCGCAAAGACAGAGGGTGATATGATTCCTACAGAAGTCATCCTCACTAGCTTCAATGGAGGAGCAACTTCAGCTAAGGGAGTTATGCCTTTAGACATAACTATAGGTACGACTACTAGGACCACTGCCTTCTTTGTAATAGATGGTCCTACTAGTTACAATGTGCTCCTAGGAAGAGATTGGATACACGGAAGTCGCTGCATACCCTCGTCGCTCCATCAATGCCTGATTTTTTGGAATGACAAAGGTGAAGCAGAGGTGGTATAGGCCGATCATAGGCCTTTTGTCGCGGAAGCGAACTCGGTGGAAAAATTCATGTACGAAGGAAACTATGGACCTGTTAGAGTAGTACAAGACGGGGAAGAAACTTAAGTTGTCGCGCAAAGCGAAGAACCATTCTCAGTGGACGCACTCACTGAGATGTTCAAACAGATGAGGCCAAATATAGTGGCCCTAGAAGAGCCAGTGATTGGTAAAAGAATAATCAAGAATTTTGAATGGATTCTGAGTTACAAAAGCAAATGGCCGATATTCAGGCCTTCAAAGCCAGACTAATGGCTTTCAATAAGGAATGCAATGACAAAGCGAAGGAAGAGACTGCCCTAAAAGCGCTGAAGGACAAGTTGGCAGTATTCGAGTTAGAGCAAAGCCTTAGCCGAGAAGTCAACAAGGTGGACTGTTTGGAAGAGGAAGTACTTACAAAAGAACCGGACGACGAAGTGATGTGGATTGCCAAACCTGGATACGCTCAAGCGCAAGACCCTCTGATCAAAGTAAGTATTGGCGATGAA